ATCGTAACGAAGAATGAAGTACCAGAGGACAGGACAGAGGAAGCAACCTTGACGTTTCACTTTCATCGTAATGGAGAATGAAGTAACCAGAGCACAAGCACACCATCAGTCAGGGGTAACTGACGCAAACTAACAAAATTGATTTCCTCCCCACGCTAGTAATACCAGCACAGCGCAGCAATAGCAGCCGCCGCCGCCGCTGCCTGTATGTACCACTGGACGCGCCAGAAGGCCGGACAACTGAATCCACGGAGCAGAGCAACTCCGCTCCGCCTTGCTCGGACCAGACGACATCAGAGCGCGCAGCAGCAGGACGCCAGCCGGCTCCAGGCACTCCGCTCCGGCGCGCTCAACCTCAGGGGGCCACCTCCGCCGCGCCACCTCCACCTCCACCACCGGCACCTCTTGAGCGGGAGGAAGCTCAGGACTTCGCCAGCCACGAAAGCCGTCCGCGAGGAGGAGGAGCTCCCGGCGAGCGAGGTCGAGGAGCGCACGCACCGCGCGAAGGAGGAGCGGCGGCGCCGACGAGGAGTGGCGGCGCGCGAGCGAGGAGGTGAGGAGCGCACCACCGCGCGGAGGTGACGCTAACCGAGAAGAGAGGCTGGCCCAAGCCAGGCTCAACGGCCAAATCTGGCGTTTAACCCGGGCCAGGCTCCAACTGTACCGTTGGCCCCTTACACGCAATCAAATAAACCAAAATTGGTTTAAGAAAATCAGGCTAAGTGCTGGCCACCTCACCAAACACATCCATACCGCCTCTACTGTGAATTTCTGTAACAGTGAAAGAGATTCACCACACAAGCGGCTCTAGTGGGAGGGGAAAGGGCATTCCCGGATTTTAATGTGCAAGATCACCACTCACCTTGGGGGAAGGAAAGGGCGCGGCGTTCCGTATCTAGAGCTGTCGGGTGTGCGCAAGCAGGGGCTGAGATAACTGAGGGCATGCTTGGTTTCCCGGCAAGGTTATCAGACCTCGCCTAGCTTCAATAGCACAGATAACAAAAAAAACTTGCTAGGCGAAGAGAACCATTTTGGCTCTTCTACACCAACAAAGAAAAGCTAGCTAGCATAGAAATCAAGATGAGCTGGCTATACATCCAAACAAGCTGCTAAATCTAATTCCTAGCCTAGCAAGGTGATACAGTCCTTGGTAAAGGATCCAATCCAAGTATGCCCTGAGTGGCCGGCGCTAGGGATGGCGCGCCTGCTGCAGGTGCTTCTGGACGGAGAGGGAGACGTGTTTCCGTTCCACGCCTGGGACCACGTGGAGGTGTGGGGGCCCATACTACTTCGGGCCCAGATACAGATACTCGGAACACTACTGGACTCTCATTTTTCCGAACTCAGCCCAGCCCATTTGCCAGTGCCCGCAGCACACGACTTGGCGGCTCGCCTCCGCCGCGAACCGCAGCGTCTCCACCGATGGCGGAGGCGAACGTGGCGGCGGCGTCGCTCTTCGGCGCTGACAGCCGTCTCTGCTCCGCTGACATACTCGCGCCGCCTGAGGCTAGCGCTTTCTCCGCCTCACCCATTTCTTCATCCGCGCCTTTTGTTGTGGTCACTGACGGGTCCTATTTCGTTGTCGATAGGTCCGGGCAAGGATCGAGGTTGCCGTGCTCAACTTCCTCGCCGCGCTCGCCTCCCCCTCCTCGCCGGCCATCTCCGTCCTCCCCCTGGTACGCCAGATGCCAAACCGACTCCCCCACATTCCTCTCTTACTGCGGTGCGGTGATGGTTCTGCGTGCTTCACCCATGTGTATACGATCCCAGTTCACATGACCATGGCGAAATGTGTTGCGAATTGTATGTACACTGACCAATCCAGTGGGTAACAGTGCAAGTTGCAAAACATTCTGAATGAGTTGCTTTTCCCATGGCAGATTAGCCGGAGCTCTGCCAACTGCAGCCTGCGCAGCGGGTTGCTGAACGACGTTTCATCGGTTTATCTCTCACACACCTTCTGTAAGAGGTCTCTGATGCACAATCCAAAGGCGTTTGTAAGAGGTTGCTATTTGTTCCTTCAGTACCACCGGACCGAAATTATCCTCAGCCATTTGTTCTGCTGCTAAAATAGCCGTTTATTGTTGGATAGTATGGAAGGTCATGGGGATGTGCTACAAGATCTTGGGGGAGGGGAAGCTGGTCCACCAACGGGAGTTGTTCTACAAGTTCCTGTCGGACTCACCCAAGTACTTCAGCTGTCAACGTCATGTCAACCAAGCCATTCAAGGTGGACAAAATTCCCCCAACCCATTTGATTCTTGTTTGACTAATGTGTAGTTTTGTAGTAATCAGTTTGGTCCCCTCTTCATGTGCAGATGTTGTTTCCTTGCTCCGGTGTACAAGGCAGAGCCTAGGAGTCATGGCATCAAGCAGAGGGGCACTGATTGGGCGCCTTGTGTTGCATGTGTGCTCCATGATATGTCAACATATGTCTTGACTATTGGAATTATCTGTTGAGGAAATACGTGATAAACTCTTGTTTATCTTTTCACAAAGCACCTAAACAGCATGTTTAAACTACCTTAGGAACCAGATGAAGAACAGATTGACTGCTCCATTCTCGGAGCTTCAGGGCATGCAATTACAGGGGACCTGAACCTGTTGAGCAAACTAAATTTGTCTTCAGATGCTCGGTATATCATTGTGGTGGAGAAGGTACCAATCTTACTGCCATAATCTAGTAATGATTTGTCTCCATAGTGTATCCTTCTAGCTTATAGGTTACTTGTTTGAAATAGGATGCCATATTTCAGAGGCTGGCTGAAGATCGCTTGTATAATCAGCTCCCTTGTATCCTGATCACTGCCAAAGGATATCCTGATATTGCGACAAGGTTGTGCCTTTCTTTTTTCTTATGTAGGTTTTACTTGCTTATGTAATGGAGCAATTTTGCATCCAAATTCTTTATGATAATGTTGACAATATTTGGTTATCTGATGTATTTATCCCCTTTGTCTTTGCTGTTACTATACAGATTTATCTTGCATCGACTGAGCCAGACATTTCCAAATATGCCGATTTTTGCATTAGTGGATTGGTTAACCCCTCTCCTGTGCTCATCACTATATAGTATAACTGACTGATATCCTTTCAACCATATTAGATAGCACTGATTTGTTTTTTCAGGAACCCAGCAGGGCTTGCTATAATGTGCACTTACAAATATGGAAGCATATCAATGGGTCTGGAGTCATACAGATATGGTACTTTATTTGAGTGATCATCAGATCCTTATTCTGCGCATGTTGCCGAACCATGTGAATCTTGTTCTCCATTTTCAGCTTGCAACGTGAAATGGCTTGGGATGAGAGGAGATGATCTGCAGCTTATCCCTGAGAGTGCGTTTCAAGTGCTGAAGCCACGTGATTTGCAGATTGCCAAAAGCTTGCTGTCATCAAAGTTCCTACAGGTGTGTATTTGGCTTCTCAACTTTCAAGTAATGCTGTTGTGTCAGAAGCTGCAGTTTTCAAATTAGATAAAATTTTGGGAACATGGAGTCAAAAGTCAGCAATTTGTTTTTACATTTATCTTTGGGACCATGTATCTGCAGTATGAGAACCAACTGCGAGAATCTTGGGCAAAAGTAACCAGAAAAATTTCAACCTAGTGACCAATGAATGTTGCTAGTGCAGATTTTATATGAAACTCTTGCAATAAATCAACATGCATAATTCGCATGGCAAAATGTTAGTGTTGGACATGACCTGCGACCTCAATTTCATCAGGCATGGAAAAGCTTAATTGCCTGGAATCTAGTGTTTGTACCTGACCAATCTGAATATGGAACTAATACGCCCATGGCCAATAATAGAACATGTGTTATACATTAAGGATGACCTGATATCTTTTAAATAATTAGTATTGTTCCCGGTAACCCTGATGCTTTTATCATTTGGCCTTGTGACACCATAAAATTTAGCTTAAGGCGCCTATATGATTTATGGTGGTTTTCGGCTGTAGGAGAGTCACAGAGCTGAGCTGACACTGATGGTGGAGAGGGGCAAGCGTGCAGACATCGAAGCTCTCTACTCCCATGGGTTCGATTACTTGGGGAAGTACATCGCGAGAAAGATTGTACAGGGCGATTACATCTGACGCTGCCGTGGGTGCTGTCTGTTTCTCTTCTTGTATTGACCGCTGGAATGTTAGCATGGTTGCATACTTGCATGTGCCAATGAGCTGCATGGACTATATAGTAAGCTATGTCCAATGCCTGTAGATTGAAACAATGATTGATACTGGAATGTACAATTGTACATAAATACAAAAGATTTGCTTCTTGTTACTCTTTACTCTAGTCAAATATCGATCTTGATTACGGTTGGGGTCTGCCACCTTGCATGACCAGACCACTAAATAAACAAGCTCATTCTGGTGAAACCGTGGAATCCGAATGAAGAGGCCGCGGTGTTCACTCATTGGCCACTGAATCACACGGGTTTTGAGTTCTGATCTGCAGTGCTGGGGCATGGTGCGGCCGATGCAGGGGGATGCAAATACATCTGTGGATGGCAGCATGCAGCAGCAGCGATCCATTCATCGTTCTCCAGAAAGGTGCCGGTCCCAGGAAAGGAGTGGGCAGAATGGACCATGGTCCGTGGGGCCACCCTCGCGGCGCCACGTTTGGTGCCACGTCGGCGCTTCTCGCATGCACACATGCACATGTGTCGGAGCACCTGAGGTCGCCGACTCCGCCGCCCGCCAGTCCCGCCACCAATGACGCGGACGACCGAGCAACATTTCCGAGCATTCTGACATCCAAATCCAAGTTTTCATCCGGCCTCTGCTGCTGACATTTCTTATCCTGCCTCGCTCACTCGAGAATGAGCTAGCGTATCATCGATCGTGCCTGCTGTTACGTTACATTACATACATACCTTGTCCGAGCACTGAGCATACTCACTGACACACGCGCGTATACTGATGAAGCTGAGAGTTGTATATATACGTACTAGAGTCCTAATAAGTAGTATAGTATCATGGATCGATCAAGGAGGATGCTGTGCTGCGGCGGCGTGTCGATGTCCATGTCGTGCCCCGACGTGGTCACCATATGCGGCCTCTTCGCCGTGCAGTGCATCTACGGCCTCTACATGATGTTCCTCAGCGCCCTGCTCGCCGCCGGCGTCCGTTCCCTCTTCATCATCGTCGTCGCATGCGCCGCTTCCTCCATCGTGGTCCTCCCCATCGCCCTCGCCCTCGAGAGGTATGTACGTCGTATGTGGGTGGATGCGTGCGTCTCTCTCTATGGCAGTAGCACGCGAACGTTTGGTTCATCAGCTCCTAGTTCTTTTAAATAAAAAATAAAAATAATTTCTCGTTAGCCGGAGCTTTATTAAACGGGACTTTAAATTGTTGCTTGTTAATTAAGATTTAGCTGATTTAGTCCCTTCATGCATGGCCTTGACTACAGGAAGAAATGGCCCAAAGTGTGGAGCCCCATGTTGGTTGTTCAGCTCATCATCATTTCACTAGGAGGGTGAGAGATCAATTTCCTCTGAAGTATATTTTTTATTTTTTTAATACTTTTGTGCATGCCATGCTTGATTTCCCCAAAATAGCTTATACTGATTTGGCTTAGCCCTGTTCGTTTCGCTGAAATTTGGTTTATGCTAATGCTTATGGTGATTTGTTGTGAGAGAAAAATATCGTTCGTTCGCTGAAAATCATAATTAAAAGAGATATATATCCAGAAGTCATCTTTAGTCCTTGAAAGAGAGAAACTCAAATGAACGCTTGCAGTACTACAGTAGTAGTGGCATTTATCTGCTGTAAATATATGGCTTGGATGTTCGATTTGGTGCATCGATCTAGACTCAGCATCCACAATTCATGGCTTCTTCTTGGTACCTTGTACATTATTAACCCCTCGGTGTGTAACACTACTTGGTGGCTGATTCCAACATCTAGCAAACTGCTGCTAGGCACTTGATTAAACAAGTTTGAAGTTCCATCCCATATTGTGTAGGGTGTCAATATACCAAGTCATCGTGATGCTCGGTGTCGTACGCACCTCGCCAGCGATCGCCTCCGCCATGCCTAATCTTTGCCCTGGCTTCATCTTCGTCATCGCAGCCTACCTGGGGTCAGTGTTGTACAGACTGAACTTTACTGAAACATGAACGTCAGTTCAGAAAATTAAACATGGATACATGTGCAGTCCTAAGTCCTAACTGTTGATGTGTTATTAGGTTAGAGAGGTTCGACTGGAAGTGCAAGTACACCAAAGCGAAGATCTTGGGCACTCTGGTGTGCCTCAGCGGGGCAATGTGCGTCAGCTTCCTGAAGAACCCTACTCCCAGCGTATCCGTTCCCGGCGATGATGAAGAGCTCTCAGATGGCAAAGGCAGGCACGATTGGATACTTGGATGTTTGTGTCTTCTGACTGGTAACATAATCTTCACCTGCAACACTGTTCTGCAGGTAATTAAGCAATAGTAACTGTCAGGGGTCTGTAGAGTAAGCAATTCTTCTATGCGTCTGAATTATATTTCTAGCTGAATGTGGTGCTGCTAGTCTAGGCTGCAGCTCTGAAGAGATTCCCTGCACCGTTGTCTATCTGTTCCATCACCGCCATGATGGGGTCGATCTTCAATGCTATCGTCTAGGTCTTGATGGAGGGGAAGCTCACTGCAGGGACTGCTGACAACCTCAGCAGGATCATTGGCGAAATTGTGCTTGTGGTACACATACACATCTATCTATATCTACTGAATTCAGACTTTCAGCACATGATATGCTACGTTCTTGTAACTTGAAGAACTGCAATGAAACACTGAAGAAAGTGAAACGACTGCTTCTGCTACTGTAGGGAGGCGTGGTGATCGGCCTGTGCACGGCATTCCAGGTATCAAGCATTGGGCGCAAGGGGCCTGTACTCGTGTCCATGTTCAACCCATTTCAGACGGTCTTCTCGGCGTTCATCTCCTTCATTTTCTTCGGACAATGGATCGGCTTGGGATGGTAATGCACGCCAATTAAGGGATGCAATGCTGCTGCATGCTCTGAATTCTGAGCCGAGTCCAACTAACCAGCACACTTATTTACACCTAATAATGTTCATATTGTTTCCTTGCTGCAGCTTTGTGGGGATTGTGCTCATGTTTGTTGGATTGTACGTGGTGCTGTGGGCGAAGAATAGGGAGGACAACATGTTTGCCGATCTGACAGCACTGTCTGAAACTGGATGTGATATAGAGAGTTCACTGTTGCAATGATAAGTAAGGCAAAATAGTCTGACCACGCTACCCCGGTGCAATCGTTTAGTGTAATTAAATTGCATCTGGATGTACATCTGATTTTGTTTGTGCTTGGAATAAAATATGCTTGGAATATCTTCTTTTTGATTCTCTTTGCTGAACAGATCAAGGATCGTTGACAGTTTTGTCGGATTTGCTACAGTTCTTCCGTTTACCTGGTATAACTATCAAGTTGCCCCGGCCAGTTTTGGGACGAAGTTAACACGCGCAACATATCATGTGTTTGAGGAGCGCGCGTCCTCGCCCCCCCCCCCCGCCGCCCACCCCTGCTTCCACCACCCACAGCTGGTGGCTCCCACCACCTCCCGTGCCTTGCCCCGTCCTCCCCTAATTAGTAGCATCGTGACTCCTTAGTCAACCCTGTTCGACCACCATCTCCCGCTGCCCGGCTGCTGTCTTGCCCATCACCACCGTCATGTCACGATGTCCCCAAAGCCTCTTCTACAGTTGCCAGTGAGTGGATTCTCTAACCCGGAAACCCCAACCCTTTCCTCAAATGCAATATTGAATACCCTCAATTAGCCATGGTCCTTTATATTTATATATAGGGTAAGAGGTTTTTTTCTGAGCTAGAGTTCAGTACATCCTGATTTGCAATCTTAACCAACTCAAATGCAATTTGGACAGTTAAGGGTCACCCGGTTTTCACCCGTTTTATGAGGGGAGGTTCTCCCAAAGATCGTAATTCTCTTATTTGGGCTCTAAATTAAACGTTCCACGCATATATTTCGACCATCCCGACGAGACCTATATAACGGTGGAGTCCGATCACTAATTTCAAGCTTACCAAAACCGGACCACCTAGTTTGGAAAATCAGGTCACCTGGTTTTTTCCAGCTTACACAAAACTGCCAATTTTGGTCGCAAAAACTTTCGGCACAGCTGCAAGTTGAATCGACTCTCTGAGAGTTACTGAAACACGAAGTGAGTAAAACATAATCAACTCCTATGCGAATCCTTGCAGGAAATGCTAAGAATTAATGAACCAAACACAAATTTTATACCTCTTGAATGTTTCCATGTTGAAATGTTTCACATTGAAACATATTCATGTGAAGCAACATAACAATTTGTTGCACTTGGCACCGCAAGATCGTACTTTATATATGACTCTTGTCTACAATATGGTATGTATTTGCAAATGTTGAGATGACCATAGAAGTGGCTAGCACAGAGATTCATCAAAAGACACTCACGGAGCAAGCATTGAGGTGACCTCAGTGATCTCCACTATCGATTTGATATATCAGACATTCATTTAGAATGCTACCTCTATTGAGGATGTTGTTTTGGTAGAGAATGCTTCTAATGATTAGCAAGTTGATACACATGTGACAATTAAGGAACCCATCATTCTTATAACCATCGATGATTGCCCTACCCATTCCACGACCGACGTCAACATAGAAGAGTCTCAGTTGATACGGGATCCAATGATAGAGGCAACTTCTCTTCTGACCACTCCATCTAGCTCACTACTGGAATCCACTAGTTTCGCCCTAGAGTGGAATTCCTAGGGAAAGGCACAAAAATTGGTAGGGAAACATGTCCCTAGGAATTTTGTGGGGAAAGCTTTCTAGAGGGGGGGGGCAAAGATCTCGCATGCCCTCTTCCTATACATCCCACTTCTGCATTGACCACAACAACAAGACACAATGTAAGTCCTATGATAGATCAATGCTTCATCAGAGTGACCTCTTGCACAATGTAATGTGTTAAAAGATTTGAGCAATGCTAGGAATGATGGGAAGCTCAATGAGGATGCAATGTAAGACTATGCAGAATGCCTAAGACATGATGGTTGTGGTTTCTTTGTCCTTTCTTTAGGGGTTTGACTTTGTTGTGATTGTTTGGTTTGATCACATTGAGACAAAGTTGTTATTAGTATATTTGTATTAGTTAGTTGTTATGGCTGTTGCTACTAGTGTTGTTTTCTGTTGTATCCCCTTTGAGACCGTTGTTTGTCCAGTCTAGGCCGTCTTCTTTATTAATATAATTGGCAGCTCCCTGCTTGATTTGTTCAAAAAAACAATATGGCATGAGAAATGATTGAGTAAAGTATTGTATGAAGTGCTAGAAAGGAACATATAGTGAATTGGTGATAACATACAAGTTAACAAACCATGTGTTCCTGCTTGACCCACAGAGAAAGTGCATCATGAGAAGGTCGTATCACATTCATAATATACTTGTTGACATCAAGAGTTCCGCCAAGCACTTCACAATGCATCAAATTATGCTTTCTCCAAGACAAAAAAATGCTCCATGTGAAGTGCTTGAAGGGAACTCTTGAAGACACCAAGTGTGACTCTACTAACCTCTACCTTCATTATTGACTTGGTGTGTAAATTGTCGAAGTGCCACCTAGAGTTCACCCAAACACTTCACTAGCCACCTAAAGTAGGTCCACGTTGTGCGTGGCCTAGCCGATGAAGTGTTTGGGAGGAACACCGGGAAGCAACCGGCTACAAACTACTAAACCAACTATTTGGGCAAAAATGCTTGTTGGCATCAAGAGTTCCTCCAAACACTTCGCATTGGTCTCAAGACTACATCCGCCAATGCGAAGTGCTTGAAGGGAACTCTTGATAACACACTACTACAGGAATGGTTTCTAGGGGCGGCTAGTGAGAATTTGTAGAGGCGGCTTGGCCAGCCGCCCCTACCATACCATCTCTACAAATCATGCATTTGAAGATAGGGGCGGCTGGCCACCCCTACAAATTGATTTGTAAGGGCAGCTGTAGTACCAGCCGCCCCTATAATACCTGTTTGTAGAGGCGGTTCAGTCTAGAACCGCCCCTATAGTACATTTTTCCGTAAAAAAATTCAAATTTACAATTCAAATTCGACCAGAACATATATATTTACATTTCGCACATGAACCATGAAATGTGGAAACAAGAGTTATATTCATGTTTGCTGCGTATATAGTAAATCAGTACTTGTAGGAACATAAAAATTTTAGAATGGTCTAGTTGTAGGCTGGTAACCATATCACGAGTGATGTAACAGGTATTGTGATTCAAAAGGGCTAGTTAATTATGGTGGTATGCCTATTTAAAAATTTTAACAAATTGGCTGCAAGTAAAGTACCAATATGATCCATACATGTTTTGGGCATAAGGCTGCAATCAGATAATTGACCAAAGTAGAATTGTACCTCAAGTGGCTTGCTAAAACAGTAACTAGCAAGCATTCTAATGGTAACTAAAGCAGTTTATCACACACAACAGTCCATACAATATCATCACACCCTACTAATTATGCAACAACTAAAGTCTCAATTTTTTTTATGAGAAGAACATCATCACAGTTATAGTGATGTAAGGCAAGATATCAGAGGAAAAACTTATTGACTATTTAAAATATCTATTGTTTAAGTGAGGTCTCAAAGGATATGGCAGCAGCCCCTGGACAAATATGAGATCGATGATTTTTCATTAGAATATATGTTGAGATTTAGTTCTCTCCCAAAAAATTTAAGAATAATGTTGAGAACGATGATTGTGCAGATTTGTTCTCTAAGAATAATGTGACTAGCAACTATTTCAGAAGCACCAATACCGTTGCTGCTCAATACATGATCTGTAACTTTGAAGGCAAAAACCAGTTCTGTAGGCAGAAAAAAATGGCAATAATAGAGAACTATCAATTTACCTATTAGAAATTTACAGCTCATATCACATCAGAGTCTGCACTCTACAGCACATGATAAAAAAATATTGGTATCCAACTTTCCAACAAAATATATGAGATAAAAACATCAGAGTCTAGAGAAAAACAGTCTGTGGTAGTGATAGCATGAGCATGAGATCATATAGAAGTCAACTACAAGGAAGTGTGCAAGGGTAACTTACCAAAAATGGATAGTAGTGCATACTTAATAAAAACTGTACACCAGATTTGTTTTATAAAAGAATTCACCCATATTAGTATGATATTAGAAATGAGTATAATAGTATATTCACCCATAGTCATAAGCTTTTACAGTGAGTCTTGGCACGATTGATTTGAGGGTACAGACTACAGAGTGAATGATCTTATAATTTTATTAACTACTAAGAAGCTCATCTCATTTTGGAATTTTCCCTGGTTTGATTGGCAAGTTCTGAATATGTTGAATATTAGTAATTACCAAGAAGCTTAACTCATTTTGGAAATTTTTCCTATCTAATTATTGTAAATAACACATAGAGAGTTGCATTAGAGAAAAATAATTTGTGCACCATACAGCAAAACCAAGCACAACCAGGGATCTCACCACCGTGTTGCAAAGATGGGGAAGGCCTAGGACATACAGTGTTGGATGGCACTATGCAGAAGCTCCATGTTTGTAATAAGGCACAGCTTAGTGAGGACAAATAAACTGCACATCAGGATACACATCAATAGGAGAATGCCTTTACATCTACATTTCTATCAGACAAAATAAATGTGTAATGAATCATCATCATGCATAGTAAATTAAAAGAATTAGGAACTGACCAAGGTGACATTGTTAAAGCACTCATGTCCATCGACATGCCCATTTTGCGCTGGCATCATTGCTTCATGTTCTTCTACCTCACCCCAATCGCTGCAGCTCTCTCAGAACACGGGACTTCCTTCCACACCTCAACATATAAGAAACTCTTAGTGCTTCCTAACAGGTTCTTGGATGGCAATATGCAGATGCTAATACCAGCACACATGCTTTGAGTAGGCTACTCACCACACAATACAAGGCTACTAAATGACCATAATCGTTGTCCAAGTTGGTTGGCATGAGCATCTCCAACCCCTCCCTACATCTGAAACAAGACAAAAAAGGAACCATTCATGATTCATTTACTTCAAACCAAAACTAAAAATTTTTCCATACAAGAAAGAATAAATTGCGCCAAGAAAGAGCACAACTACACATTACCGTAAATGTTGGAGAAGCTTTAGCTGGTGTACAGAGCAGAAACAAATTT